ATTTGCTTCAAAATAATCCAGGATGGGAGGGGGAATAAGGGATATAATTAAAGTAAGATTGGCCACATATTGGAAATGGATAAAGATAAGTAACAGGTGAGATTCCTATTCTATTCTCTCTATATTTATACATATTTAGAATTTTCTATAATAGAAAGTTTAAAAAGAGTTAAATCCCAAATTAGCTGGCCCCTTTTACCTCTCTGACTTCATCTACCTTTTCCTCTTCCTCTGCTCCAGGCACACTGGAACACCCCAAGCACACTTCTGCCTCAGGCTCTTTTCAACTGCTATGACCCTCTGCTTAGAACATTATTGTTCTAGATATGCACAGGGCTAGCTTCCCTATTTCTTCAGAGACCTCTTAGCTACCTAGTTTAGTTTCTTATCAGAATGGCCTTCCCTGACCACTAAACAATCACACACATGATTATGTTTTTCTATTTCAATCAGAAATGTAAGTTTCTTGGGGAGAGAAATTCTGTTTTGTTTGTTCTTCACTCAGCACCTACAACAGTGGTAAGTACTCAATTACTGCATGTTGAATGAATAGACTGATGTTGAATAAAAGTAACTAATGAAATTAATGAAAGAATATCTCAAGAAAACCAAATATTCTAGAGCCCATGTATTGTCAAAGTTTATGTAATTTACTTTGTATCTGTTTCTGACTTATGCTTCATCTGCACGATTTCTACCATGAAGAGATCAATAGGGTAACCTGGTCTTCTAATTGCCAAAACAGAATCCACAACAGCCTGAAAAGGAAGTGAATGAGAACAGTAAATTATTTGAACTACTAAAAGAAACCAATGGCCCAAGTAATCTGTCATCATACTAAACAGGTAAAGCCTTCAAGCTTCAAAACTATGTTTTGGGCAAGTCCCACAAGTGCTACTTTACTAATAATAATCAATGCCAATGGACACTGTAGAGTCTAAAAAAACTTCAGAGATTATCAGGCCCAAACCTTTTATTTTACAGATAAGGAAATTGAGATAAGACTTCAAGAAGTTAGAGTCTTAGGGCTGGCAC